AGGACTTCATCCACATTAACAACTTTTGTGCTTCGAAGGACACTATCAAGAAAGTGAAAAGACAACCAACCAACAGAATGGGAGGAAATATTTGCAAATCATGTATCAGATAGGGGACTTGTATCTAGAATATATAAAGAACTCTTACAACACAATAAGAAAAAGATAAATAACCCAATTAAAGTGGGCAAAGGAGTTGAACAGACATCCCACCAAAGAAGACGCACAAATGGCCAATAAGCACAGGAAAGATGCTCCGCATCGTTGGCCACAGAGAAATGCAAATCAAAACCACAGTGAAGGGCTACGCCACCCCCGCTAGAATGGCTATGATCAAAACGACCAGAGGTAATAGGCGTAGGCAAGGATGTGGAGAAACTGGAACCCTTGTGCGCTGCTGGCGGGAACGTAAAATGGTGCAGCCGCTGTGGAGAAAACTGCCTTAAAACAGGTAAACATGGAATTCCCATAAGACCCAGCAATTCCACACCCAAGTTAAAAGAATTGAAAACAAAGACACAAACAGACACTCATACACCAATGTTCGCAGCAACATAACTTGGCTGAACCTAGAAAACATACTTCTGGGTGAAATATGTCAGACACGGAAGGGCAAATAACAGACAGAAAGCCGTTAGCAGGAGATGGGTGCGTGGGGGAGGGAATAGGAGGTGACTGCCAAAGGGTTCCTTTTTGGGGTGATGAAAATGGTCCAAACTGATTGTGGTGATGGTCTACAACTCCGGGAATACACCAAAAGCTGCTGAATTGTACCCTTCCAATGGTGAACTGTAGGTCGTCACCTGCCGTGGAGTCGGTTCCGACTCATAGCAACCCTGTGAACGACAGACGGAACACTGCCCGGTCCTGCGCCGCCCGTCAAGATGGTGCATTGTAGAGCACGTGGATTAGATCTCCACAAAGCTGTTAGGAGAAGAAGTGCACCTCTCTCTCTTTGGGCTGTCCGCAGCCGTCTCCCAAGGAGCACCCGTGCATGTCGACAGTACAGCTTCATGGCGCCCCTTGTGCCCCTTCCTTGAGGTCTTTTTCCCCTTTGTTCAGTGTGCTTGGCGCATCCCCGTAGGCTGGGCCAGATGGCAGCTTCCATTGAGTAGCCGCTGCGGCCTCGGGTGGAGGCTGGGAAAGCAACGGGAACTCTCCCTAATACTTCTCAAACTCCTACCACCTACAGACAGGCCCTGAGAGGACCCCGAGAGACGCCGAGGCCCCCAGCACAAGGCCACGTCCGTGCGGGCTGGACACACGAGACGGGGTGGGTCGTCTGTGGGTTACTCAGGAAAGCTGGGGGGAAGGCAGAATTTTAGGGAGGGACAAGGATTTCCAAGCAAGAGCAGTGCGCGAGTGTGCGTGCTCCCATGTCACGAGGCTGGCCTGGCTGACAGGTCCGAGGGGTCCAGGTGTCCACCCGCCTGTGCGCTCCCTGACCCCTGGGGAGGCCCCTCTGTGTTCGCGCTCCGCGTGGCCAAGGCCTGGCTGAGGAGCCGGCTCCCCCCACCCCTCCGACCCCCCTCTGACCGGCCGTCCCCCCGGGGCCGCGTCCGCGTGTGTTCGCGCGTGTGCACCCGTGTGTATGGAGGGGTGACAGGTCTCCCTCCTCTCTTTCCCCACCCCCACCCCCGGAGTTCGGGGTGCGGCTGACGACTGTCTCACTGAGCCTTTCCCGGAACCAGCCCCCTCCTCCCGAGCCTGCCGGGAGCCCCGCAGTGTTGCCATGACAACGCCCCACGCGGCGCCTGACGTCGCAGACACCACGTTCTTCCCGCGGGCGGGGTCGCCCAGGAGATCGCAGCCCCCACCCTAGAGTTCGTGGCAGCTCTATCCACAACTCCCCAAACCGGAAGCCACCCAATGCCTTTCAGCCAGCAAATGGTTAAATGACCTGGGGCACCCCCACACCTCGGAATGTGAGAAGGGGAGGACTTTTATAGTGACAACCTGGGTGAACCCGGAAGGCACTGTGCTGAGTGAAAGGAATCAGCCTCCACCCACTGTCCGCTGCCATTTGTAAGATGTTCTGGAGGACAGAACTACAGAATGGAGGACACATCCGTGGTTGCCTGGGCTGGGGTGACGGTACAGGCTAGCAGGAAGGCCTTCAGGGGTGATGGAATGGTCTATAGCCTGACCGTGGTGGTGGTCACACAAATCTACACTTGGGTTAAAACTCACAGAACTGCTACCACCTAGTTCGTTGCATTGTCTGGGGTGTTAAAAGCTTGCAAGTGGCCATCCAAGGTACAACACTTGGTCTCTAATTGCAACAGAGGAAGAAGGAGCGTCAGGAATAGCAAGAGGAAATGGAATGTGTGGCTAATTGCCTCCATGAACAAATGCCTCCTTTGCCATGAGACCAGACGAACTGGATGGTGCCTGGCTACCGTTACTGAACATTTTGATCAAAGATTCCAGAAGAGTTCTGATCAAAAGGGGGAAAATGCAGAACAGAATGTCAATTCTCAAGGAATCCAGGCATTTTGGAGCCATTGAGGTGGATGAACCCCTGCAACTACTGCCCTGAGATAATCATCAACCCTAAAACCATAAACTCAAAATATACCCTGAAGCCTTCTTTAAACCAAACAACAGTCTAGCTTACGTTATAAAGAATGTCTGCCATAAGCACTGTGATCTTTTAAAGAACTTACTACATGGGATCAACTTGTTAACAGCAACTCAGAAGGTTAGCTAGGAAGCTCAGGGGAAGTGAGTCAGTGCCAACAGGGAGGGACAAATAGGGAAGGTGGGTGAAAATGGCTGCTCAACCCGAAGAAGGTAATCACGTCCCAGAGTACACGTACACAGCGTCGGTGTATGTTTTGCCGGTGTATTTGCAACAACAACAAACTCACAGAACCATACATCAAAATATAAAAACAAAACCCATTTTCCCGAAAACCTGATTAGACAGATGTGAGTGCCACTGTCCCCCAGCTCCGTAGGACGGGGGCCATCAAGCAGCTGGATGCTGACATGGGTATCGGGGAAGTCCCCCAGGGCCCCG